CAAGTGTGAACAACCCAATTATAAATACGTATAGTACATTAGCATACCCCCTTCCCCGAATAGTATATAACTTAACAGATACTTAACTTTATTGTTGATTCTGAAATTAACGGTTTTCTACAGGATTAAATTTAACAACGGATAAACTTAGAATAAACTGTTTTAGCTATAATAAAATATTTACCCAAAAATTGTTCATGTATAATCTACAAGTTTGATTTACAATCTTCCAAAGTTTTAATAAAACCTGGGACCGTAACGGTTATAAGTTTTATTATAAAAATCACTTTTTAATCGTTATTAACTGAGTTTTATTTTTTGCTCGGAAAATAATGGTTACGTTTTAAGTTTTATTTTTTGCTCGGAAAATAATCGTTATTTCTTGAGTTTTATTTTTTGCTCAGAAAATAAAACTTAATTTTTGCGTATGCGTATGAGCTTTTTTGCACTTTTTCTTTAGAAATGTGGTTCGCTTTGTTTCTGCCCTGGTATCTGTATTTTCATTACTCACTCCACAGTGGCGTCGCCCCTTGTCTATTTACGCATGCGCATGCGCATACGCAAAAATTAAGTTTTATTTTCTGAGCAAAAAATAAAACTCAAGAAATAACGATTATTTTCCGAGCAAAAAATAAAACCCAAAACATAACGATTATTTTCTGAGTAAAAAATAAAACTCAAAATATAATGATTAAACTTGATTTTTATAAGTAAAAATTAAAAAATAAAAGTCAGTGCCGCTGAAGGTACTCCGAGTTATAAGAAATATATTGGTTTACTCCTTATGCACGTAGCATTTCTCTTTCCGCGTGATTTTTTGAGTTGAAATTTCAAAGGATAATCGTTATTTGCGGTCCCTGCAGAAAACAAAGGTTATACTATAAAACGACTTAGGTGTAAATACTCGCTTTTTTCCCAATGTTTGGTGAGATTTTTTCACTGTTCGAATAAGTTTTTTCGCGAAATTATGCAAAAAGAAGCTGAAAACCAAAAATTAAGAATATCAAAAATTACATATATTTGCAAAGTCGCGCGCAAAGATATATTCCAAAACTACATAAAATTCTCTAAAACGGACCGGTACTCACACTTTTTTTTTAATAATAATCTGTAGTATCCACATTTCAAAGTAAATTTTATGGCAAGAAAATAGGAAAGTACCAAATAAATGATAAATAACTTCACCTAAATAGTCCACGACATTTAAATAATTGATTACAGTTGAAAAAGAAACACTTTCTTTAATGGGTTAGTCGCCAAAGACAGCTAAACTGATTAGTCGGTATCGCGCCCATTCCCGTATGTTTTTGGGAAAAGTATCGTTCGTGAAGAAGGGGGGTGAGTAAATAATGTAAAATTTGGTATTTATGACTTTTACTTTTCCCTCTCTAGGTTCAACCGGTTTTTCTTTATCAACTGCCATCATGACTTTTTTCTACCTCCCTACATATAGTCGAAACACTATAGCATCGTAACGAATTGACTTATTTTTCGAGAATAACTTATTGTTTTTTATTATTTTTAATATTATTTGACCGTTTGCCTCTTTGAGCAAGTATTAATGCAGATAAAAATTGATATTTTACTACAATAATTTTTTTCTTAGAACATTTTTAACCAAAAACTTCTCGGGTAAAATAATTAAATTTTTGCCCGAACTTTAATGCAAATTTAGTAAAGTGATTTTTTTTTCTTCAAAAAATAAAAAATTTAGCTACGCCTCGAAAACTCGTTCACTTTCTGATTTGATATTCGGATAAGCAAGCAATTTTATGTACATTTGTAAACTAGAGTTATTTTTTATCAAAAAATATTAAAATCAAATCAACACGTTCATATACTTAATATGATCGAAAAAATTAAAATATTAAACTAACTATTAAATAAGTTCGAAAAATTACGATCCAGCCATAATATAAAAATGCCCGATGTAAAATTTTTTTAAATCCTAAATATTAGGGACCGAAAATAAAAGTTAAATATCAAGATTTTTATTTTTTATTTGGATCATTGCAAAATCGTTATTTTTTGATTTTTATTTTTCATTCAAGAGTAGTCGTTAAAGTTTGATTTTCATATTTCCGGTTCAATTTAATCCTTTTTTGTGATTTTTATTTTTCCGGGTCAAACTTAATCGTTATTTCCTGATTTTTATTTTTCGGATATTGTATTTTTTATCGATAATTTTTAACGCTTTTATGCCTTTTTATACGTTTTTTATGACCGACTTAAATCTTTTATTAACTAAAAAATTTCATCTGAAAATAAAATTTCATAATAAAACAAATAATAAAATAACAGTCAAATTTGATCAAAAAAATAGAAATCCAATTTTACCGGTTAAATTATGATTTCTATTATATACATAGATCATAACCTATCCACTAAATATTAAAAAAACGGTAATTTAAGATAGTCCGTCCTGTGGTGGCAAAGAAATATTATGCCACTGTCAAACCTGTTAATTTCATATAATTTATTTACAAGGGAAAATAAAATATTTAAAAGAATTAGTACGAGTATTTGAAGTGTTAGTAATAAATAATAAAAAGTTGTGAGTGTGGTTTTATAAACAACGGCATGGACAATAAACGAAATCAAGACGATTTCAGAAATCTAAATTTTTGTTGAGCGTTTATTATCCTCTACGAAAATTTTATTGAAGGAATTTAACATTTCTGAGATCGAGTTCGCGAATTCGTTTACTGCTTGTCTTTGTAGGCACGAAAATAACAACAACATAGAAACCGATAACAGTGTGAATTCCACGTGTATTTCCATTATTAAAAAACTACATTAAAAGATATTGCGATGAAATATTAAAAAAAAAACTTTTTGTGGCTGGTGTTTAAAGTGTTTCGAGTGGAACTAAAATCGAACCGATACAACAACAATATATATAAAAGTGCTTCCAACAACAACAAAAAGGTAAACCACAAAATTAACAAACTTTAACAATCAAAAATGTATATTCTTTACAAATACATAAACATTTAGGTACCAATGAAATAGAATCTGTGAGCTCCTTGTCGTACTGCAAAGACATGAAAAAAAGAAAGAAAGAAAAAAACAAGAAAAAAGAAAACGATTCACATTGAATTACGATTTTAACTTTTCTTTAATTTGTTTGCAAAACTTACGAAAAATTTACGAACAACAATGAAAAAGGAACAAATAATAAAACGTCTTAGCGATTTAGCTACATATTTTAGAAAATAAAAACATACATAATTCAATAAGTTAAGTAGATTACAATGATTTCGAAAGAAAAATTACTAAGCATTTATGTTTGCACACATATTCACACAGCGAGAAGAGGCCGAAAATAATTAGCTAAACTAAAACAGTTCATATCTAACTAGGGAATTTTATTTTAACTATTGAATTTAATTTTTTATTTATGTATGTAGTTTAATAAATACGATTCTAAGCACAAAAGATAATGTAGTTTTTAATGTGATTAGAAAAAAGCTTAAAAGCTGGAGCAGAGGAAGAAATTTATAATAAACATGTAGTATGTATGTATGTAAAAAGCTTAAGAGTCGGAAGAAAATCATAATTTTTAACATAAAAATAACATGTCTCGATTTATGAATACAATGCATATTAGATGAATAAATGAACTTGTTGCTGCTGAGTTTGTTTTTAGAGATATTGAAGCAAAATTTCGGGTTACGAATTTTTATTTTTGAAAGTTAATTTTACAAATTGAATCTTTATGTAGCTCTTTACTTTTAAAATTCTAACTATTATTATTATTTTTAATTAATACCTATGGCAAGCACATTTTAAGCAGCATTAGCAACAAATTTTTGAATGTTTTCTGTTAAGCTCTTTTCCTATTCTTGCATTGTAGTATAGTGCTCAAGCGAAGTACATATATGTATGTACGTGAATATATATATATATATATTTTAATCACAATATTAAGAAAAATAATAA